CATATCCGGATATGCAACGGTGGCATAAAGTGAATGATACACCGTCGCATGCGATACTGCGTGCGGGGGAGTGTCAGGTACTTATATGGGCTTCCAATATGGACCTTCAAGACGTGCGCCCTCCCCGATACTGGAAGCGGACCCCGTTAGCTCCGAGTGGTGGGGGGTCCGTTAGCTTCAAGACGTCCGTTAGCTCCGAGTAGAGGGGGCGTTCTGCAGTTAAGGGGAAACCTCGGAGACCGGTGTTTACTTTACGGCCCTTGCCCTGCGAACGCGCACCCCCAGGGCTAGGGCTCTCTTGCCCGCAACCCGATGCCAATCATCCGGCCCGCTGGGTGCGCTTCTTACGAGCTCCCCGGCCCTGGATGTGCGGTTGATAACTGCACTCCAAGTGCTCCAAGTGCTCTCTCACAGCACACTGGCACGACAAGGGCGCGGACTGGCGCGGACTGGCACACACACCGGCTCACCGAAGCTAAGAATTCAGTGCCCGACTGCCACCGCGACTGGCTCGGGCTGCGGAGAGTGCTCGGCTTGGCCTGGGCCTCGCGTGCAGCCGCTACGCCGCCGGTGCGAGCGGATGCGCCAGTCGCCTCGGCCGGCGCGGCGAGAGGAGGTGGAGCAAGCATCGGGAGCTGAGCTTGCGGGCATCGCGGCGGCAGCGGCCCGAAGCTGGACCGCCAGGCTGGAAATAGGCAAGCCCAACCAAGAGGTCGGTCGACCAGAAGAAAAACTCACAGAGCTCGACGCTCACGCCCGAGTTCGCCGCCTGAGCCTTAGCCGCGCCGGAGAGGTCTCTGTTCCGAGTCTCCAGAGCCGGCCGCCACCTGCCCCGCGTCACAGTCTGGCCTCCCGAGCTCTTCGCCTGAGTGCACGCAAGGGTGTGTATCGGCCTTTCGACGACCGTGTGTGCCTCGCGGCTTCCGAGCGGTACCCGCCCCCTGTCCGGTCTGCTGCAGTGCTGGGCTGGAGCGACGCCTGGACACAACGTGAGTGAGATAAACGGCATAGATTCTTCAGATAAAAAATACACAACTCTTTTGTCTTACCAGCCTGCGAGGTAGGTTCGACCTTTCGAGCGCACTTTGGGGTCTTTGCGCTCAATCCACCTCTCTTTTTTGTAGGAAAATGCACGACACACACAGCTAAAGTATAGCTCTGTCCCGGGATCTGAATTTCTGATCCATGCGCTTTGCCGTATATTATATGGTGAGTCGGCCGCTCTCGGCCACACGGCGCCCGCCTCGTCCCCAAGCGCGAATGAGCGGGCACGACCAGGGAAGCAAGTTCACCTGCAGCACCGCAATGCCGTGCCCCGGCTGCGGCCCGTGCTTCGCATCGAGTGCATCTAGCAGTGCCGCCTGGCCCGCGAGGCCGATCCGATTGAAAAAGGCGTTCACGCGACATCCCTGACCCGCGGCCGGGAGGGCAGCCGCGAGTGCCATCGCGCCCTCGTCGCTCACGTCACAGAACGCCAAGCTCAGCCCATGCGACGGCTTGCCGGTCGACAGAGCCGCAGCTAGCGCCACTGCCCCCTCGTCGCCAATAGGCGTGGCAGCGACGTCGAGCGTCTGCAGCGCCGGCGCCACGCCGCGATGGAACACGCCGCAGAGCGCGCCGACGCCGCGCGCGCCGAAGCGGTTTGCCGCTACGTAGAGAGCCTCAAGCACCGGGAGCGCGCCGCCCTCGAGCCCTGCCGCAAGCTCCGCCACGCCCTCGTCGTCGAGGCGATTCCCAGCTACGACGAGGGTCCGGAGGCTCTCGCAATGATTCAGCGCCTCCGCCAGCAGCGCAGGGCTAGTCCACGCGTCGCCACACACGAGCGGCAGCCCCGTGTAGTCGAGCTTCTCGACCGTTCCCAGCACTGCCTTCGCCGTCTTTTCGTAGAGCGCGAGCACGGTCGTCGAGTCGGCGCCGTTGGTGAAGCGGCAAGTGGCGAGCAGCGTCGCCATGCGCTCCGGAGTCGCGGGGAGCCGCCGCTGAGCGCCGCCGTCGTCGCTGGCGACGTCGATGACGAGCTTCCACTTGGCAAAGCCCAGCGAGGAGGGCTTTGCGCCCAGCTCTGCCGAGCAGCGCTCGAATGTCGTCCAGCCGCGAGTGTCGTAGGTCCGGCTCCGGTCAAAGCCGGCGGGCAGCTCGTCGGGCAGCTGCGTGAGCAGCACGACAGTAACCGAGGCGTGCGCGTACCAGAGGTCCTAATGCGGAATGTAAGGCCAACGTGCCGTGAGAGCGGTGCATGTTGTGGCGCTATCGGGCTGGGAAACGGGCTGGCGTGTGCTCACCATCGTGTTTTCCAGCATGCGACCGAAGGCGGCCTTCTCTTCGCCCGACCGGCTCGCCTCATACGCGCGCCGCTCGGCAAATAGCGCCGGATCCCTCTGGTAGCCCGAGGACCAGTCGAGGAACACGCCCTGCGCGAGGCAGGAATGAAGTGACGGTGAGGAAGAGAGTGGCGATAGGCAAGGCGCCTCACCATGTCCGAGAAGCCGTAGTCGCGGCACGCGCCGAGCAGGCCGCGCCCGCCGTAGAGGCCCCGCTGCTTGCGGGAGAGCAGCTGGAGCTGGCGGCCCTCCCGATCTGGATGCGCGGCTTCGAGCCAGCAGTAGGAGACGGAGATGATCGGGAGCAGCCCGTCGGGGTTGCGCTTGCGGCCGAAAAAGCTCGCGAGCCAGCCGAGCAAGGACGAGAGGGAGGGCTCCTTGATGAATCGCTCAATGGCCTCCTCATGTCCGACGGAGTTGAAGCCGCGCCTGGCGCCTTGCTCGATCCGCCTCAGCTGAGCAGAGCTTAAGAAGGCCTCCTCTGGCAGGTCCTGCCGCCGCGGGAGCACGCCGCCCCGCTCTGCCAGCGCAATGAGCCAGTTCAGACTGATCAGCCGCACGTCTCCCGGTCGGACCTTCTCGCCGTCGCCCTCGAGGGCAGCCCAGACGAAGGCGTGCTCGCGGTAACGGGCCCCGTCGTCCGTGCTCTGAGCCGCGGCCATTCGAGGTGCTGATGCAACGCAAGGCGCCTCGCGGTAGCGGGCGCCGTCGTTGGTGTTTGCGCGCGGCCGCTCGCGAGCGTGAAGACCGGCCTCGGTGTCGGGGAGCGTTGGCTCGCGGTTCGGGAGCTGTGGGGCGCGCCGGCAGAGGCTGTCCACCCACGCCCGTGCGCGCGTATCTTAGCTAAGGTACGCGGCCACACGCGCTGGCGCGCACGGCAACCGGGACTTACACGCGCGACACGAGGGACTGTGTATCCTCGCCTGCCTCGGGGGAGAATAGCCGCCCTCACCCGCTGCCGCGCATCGAGCTCGGCGCGGGGCTGATACGTGTCATTCTGTGCCGGCGCGTATCTTAGCCAAGATACGCGGCCACACGTGCAGACGCGTATAGCGGTACTCGCGCCCACACGTGCAGCCGCCTATCTGGCCAACATAGGCGGCTGCACTCGCAGCCGC